TTGTGGTTGTTATAGGGTCACAAGTAGTTATGGTAGTTCATGGATTAATTGTATCTTGATGAGTTTTCTGAAGACAATGGTTGAATGTGAGGTTGTTGTTGTAGTAGTTGTAGTTGTTGTGGTTATTATGGAAGTTGTGGTTGTAATTATCGTAATTGTGGTAGTTGTGGTTATTGTGGTAGCTGTGGTAGTCGTGATAGTTGTGGTAGTTATGGTTGTTGTGGTAATTGTGATTGTTGTGGTAGTTGTGGTTGTTGTGGTAGTTGTAGTAGTTGTGGTAGATGTGGTAGTTGTGGTTGTTGTGGTAGCTGTGGTTGTTTTGGTAGTTGTGGTAGTTGTGGTAGTCGTGATAGTTGTGGTAGTTGTGGTTGCTGTGGTAATTGTGATTGTTGTGGCAGTTGTGGTTGTTGTGGGAGTTATGGTAGTTGTGGTTGTTGTGGTAATTGTGATTGTTGTGGCAGTTGTGGTTGCTGTGGGAGTTATGGTACTTGTGGTAGCTGTGGTTGTTGTAGGTAGTCATGATAATTGTGGTAGTTGTGGTTGTTTATGGTAGTTGTTGAATGTTGTGGTAGTTGTGGTGGATGTGGAACTTGTGGTTGTTGTCTTTGTTGTGGTAGTTGTGGTTTGGTAGTTGTGATTGTTGTGGTAGTTGTGGTGGATGTGAAACTTGTGGTTGTTGTCTTTGTTGTGGTAGTTGTGGTTATGGTAGTTGTGGTTGTTGTGGTAGCTGTAGTTGTTATGGTAGTTGTGGTTGTTGTGGGTGTTGTGGTTTGTTGTGGTAGTTGTAATTGTTGTGGTAGTTCTGATAGTTGTGGCAGTTGTTTGTAGTTGTAGTTGTTGTGGTAGTTGTGGTTGTTGTGAAAGTTGTATGTAGCTGGTGTTGCTGTGGTAGTTGTGGTTTGTTGTGGTTGTTTGTAGATGTTGTTTGTAGTTGTGGTTGTTGTGGTAGTTGTGGTTGTTGTGGCAGTTGTAATTGTGGTAGTTGGTAATGAACTTAATAGGTATCCCCTAATGAACTTAATACGTATTGCCTAATGAATTAATGGTATTTCCCCTATGAACTTTAATAGGTATTTAATGAACTTAGATGGTATTTTCCTTAATGAATTTAATAGGTATTCCCTAATGATTAGCAGGTATTCTAATGAATTAATAGATATTCTTAAGGGAAGCTTAATAGGTATTCCCTATGAATTAATTGGTACCTCTGATGATCTAACAGGTATCTCTTAGATGAACTTGAAGTTTTTCCTAATGGGAACTTATGGTATCTGTAATGTGAACTTGAATGGGTATACCTCTAATGAACTTAATAGGTATCCCCTAATGAACTTAACAGGTATTCCCCTAATGAACTTAATAGGTATTCTCCTAATGAACTTAATAGGTATTCCCCTAATGAACTTAACAGGTATCCCTCTAATGAATGTAAAAACTGGTTGCCTTATAATTTTTTGTCATTTTCTTCCTTCAAGATTTTCTTAGATAACGTTAGAAATTATCATGGATAACGTTAGAAATTATCATGGATAACGTTAGAAATTATCATGGATAACGTTAGAAATTATCATGAGTACGTTAGAAATTATCTGGATAACGTTAGATTATCATGGATAACGTTAAATATTATCATGGATAACGTTTAAAATTATCATGGTAAGTTTAGAGAATTATCATGGATATCGTTAAAATTATCATGGATAATCGTTAGAATTATATGGATAACGTTAGAAATTATCATGGATAACGTTAGAAATTATCATGGATAACGTTAGAAATTATCATGGATAACGTTAGAAATTATCATGGATAACGTTAGAAATTATCATGGATAACGTTAGAAATTATCATGGATAACGTTAGAAATTATCATGGATAACGTTAGAAATTATCATGGATAACGTTAGAAATTATCATGGATAACGTTAGAAATTATCATGGATAACGTTAGAAATTATCATGGATAACGTTAGAAATTATCATGGATAACGTGAGAAATTATCATAGATAACGTGAGAAATTATCATTGATAACGTAGAAATTATCATGGATAACGTGAGAAATTATCATAGATAACGTGAGAAATTATCATAGATAACGTAGAAAAATTATCATGATAACGTTGAGAAATTATCATAGATAACGTAGAAATTTTTAGATAACGTAGAAATTATCATGGATAACGTGAGAAATTATTATAGATAACGTTAGAAATTATCATGGATAACGTGAGAAATTATCATGATAACGTGAGAAATTATCATGGATAACGTGAGAAATAATCATGGATAACGTGAGAAATTATCATAGATAACGTGAGAAATTATCATAGATAACGTGAGAAATTATCATGGATAACGTGAGAAATTATCATAGATAACGTGAGAAATTATCATAGATAACGTGAGAAATTATCATAGATAACGTGAGAAAATATTTTAGATAACGTGAGAAATTATCATGGATAACGTGAGAAATTATCATAGATAACGTGAGAAATTATCATGGATAACGTGAGAAATTATCATAGATAACGTTAGAAATTATCATGGATAACGTGAGAAATTATCATGGATAACGTGAGAAATTATCATGGATAACGTGAGAAATAATCATGGATAACGTGAGAAATTATCATGGATAACGTGAGAAATTATCATAGATAACGTGAGAAATTATCATAGATAACGTGAGAAATTATCATGGATAACGTGAGAAATTATCATAGATAACGTTAGAAATTATCATGGATAACGTGAGAAATAATCATGGATAACGTGAGAAATTATCATGGATAACGTGAGAAATTATCATAGATAACGTTAGAAATTATCATGGATAACGTGAGAAATTATCATGGATAACGTGAGAAATTATCATAGATAACGTTAGAAATTATCATGGATAACGTGAGAAATAATCATGGATAACGTGAGAAATTATCATAGATAACGTGAGAAATTATCATGGATAACGTGAGAAATTATCATAGATAACGTTAGAAATTATCATAGATAACGTTAGAAATTATCATGGATAACGTGAGAAATAATCATGGATAACGTGAGAAATAATCATGGATAACGTGAGAAATTATCATGGATAACGTGAGAAATTATCATAGATAACGTTAGAAATTATCATGGATAACGTGAGAAATAATCATGGATAACGTGAGAAATTATCATGGATAACGTGAGAAATTATCATAGATAACGTTAGAAATTATCATGGATAACGTGAGAAATTATCATGGATAACGTGAGAAATTATCATGGATAACGTGAGAAATAATCATGGATGACGTGAGAAATAATCATGGATAACGTGAGAAATTATCAACCGTTCAACTGGTAATTTTTAACTCCTGTATACTGTAATTAGGACAAATATTCGGACCTCTGCCCGAGATTGTTTGTGTTATTTCTTCAGTAAGAAGGTGAGTCAGTCTACTTCCTTCATCAGTAAGATGGTGAGTCAGTCTACTTCCTTCATCAGTAAGAAGGTGAGTCAGTCTACTTCCTTCATCAGTAAGAAGGTGAGTCAGTCTACTTCCTTCATCAGTAAGAAGGTGAGTCAGTCTACTTCCTACATTTTTCTCAAGGGAAAGTTCGTGTTGTTATTTTCCTCGGAGGAAGATTCGTGTTGTCAGTTTTTTTTTACACGAATCGTGAGTGTGATTTCCACTGAATTTCTGGAGAATGGATCTACCGATTGGCTTCAAACCTTCAACCCTGACGCATGTTACTTAGAAGGTTCGGATTAGTAAGATTTTTGTATGACCCCTACGGAATTAGGGCTTCCCTCACTTCCTTCACTTCGTAACAAATCAGTCCGCATATGTTTTGTGAGATCATTATCCACCTGGAACCTGAGTATAGTAACAGAAACACCTGCAGCAGTAGCAGCGAGGGTAACATCACTTACAGCTGCAGCAACAACTGCAGCTGTAAAAGCAGCAACACCGACAGCAGTAAAAGCGTCAACATTTGTATCACTAAACGAAGCAACACCAGCATCAGTAGAGGCAGCAACACCCGCATGAGTAACAGAAACATCTGCAACAGCGGCAATATTTTGTGAGATCATTATCCACATGGGACCTGAGTATGATAACAGTAACACCTGCAACAGAGGCAGAAACACCTGCAGCAGTAACAGAAACACCTGCAACAGCAGCAACTGAAACACCTGCAACAACAGCAACAGTAACACCTGCAACAGCAGCAATTTTTCCTGTAGCAGTAGCAGCCCCTGAGAGAGCGTGGGTGTTCTCCCTTCTGGTACACTGAGTGTCAACAATCAGTGTACTGGTACACAGAATCAAGACAATCCTCTACCCTCATCCCTCCACTTGTCTGCTAATGACTCGCTTACAGTCTCTCGTTGGGGAATCATTCACGTCGTGGGCGTGCGAGACATTGTTTCCACGCCCCTTGTTAACATCGTGGGTGTTATCCTTGAGCCCAGTGATAGCACAATATTAGCTCTGAGGAAACAATCCCAATGATAGCACAATCCTAGCTCTGAGGAAACAATCCCAGTGATAGCACAATCCTAGCTCTGAGGAAACA